CTTGTTAAAATTTATTTGCGTTTTTTAAAATTTAATTGACGATTTAACTATTGGAACTTACACGTTGTCACCATGTACAGCTTAACTCTACTGTGAGAAGTTTAAAATGTTTCCCTCATACGACATGGCAATCGAAGTCGGTGACACATAATTTACCTTGCTACGTTAGAGTTCGGCTTCGATTAATTATTATCTTTACTAAAGATGACTCAATATTGGAGCCAAAACGTTTAAATAATGGATTTCTAATAAAGAAAAATTACAAATCTAATTGTGCACTGCTTACTGTGTGTTTCTTTTTGTCCTTTGCTTATCAAAATTAATAATAACATTATTAATTTATACATTTATATTTTTAACTTAATTTATAACTTTATTAATTTAACATTAATAACATAAACTTAAACTAATAATAATAATAATAATAATAATAATAATAATAATAATAATAACTTAAACTTTAATTTAACTTTATTAATTTAAATTATTTAAAATTATAATTTTTTTAATAATAACGCCTCTTTGGTCTCTTCTCTACCCTACTCCTTGATCTCTGCCTCTTCTTCGGTTCTCTCCATTGGAATTTAGTAAGCCCTCCTCTCCCCCCCCCCGTTGACTGAGAGCGCCTATCTCCATTTTTTCTATTAGAATTATAAAGAACTGAATATAAAATATACAAAAATAAATAAATGTCAAAATATTTATATGTTTTATATATTAGGTGTACAAAAAAGTTCTGAGCTTTTTTTTTGTAAAATTCAATCTTTATTCAAAAACAAACAAAAAAATATTAATCAGCGAAATATTCCCCGTTTGCAACGACCTTTTGCCATCTTTCGGGTAGCTTGCGAATTCATTGACGATAGAAGCTCACCGGCTTCGAAGCGATAAAGTCATCAATGCATTTTCGTATCTCTTCAAATCTCACGAAATGTGTATCAGTCAAATGATGCTGCAGCGACCGGAATAGGTAGTAATCAGAAGGCACCATGTCTGGGCTATACGCCGCGTGCGGGAGAAGTTCCCAGCCTAACGCAAAGATATGGTCCTGAGTCGCTTTCGCAACATGTGGTCGAGCATTGTCATGAAGCAAGATCACTTTACGACGTCCTTGGCCAGTAAATGGCCTCTTTTCTTCTAATGCATCACTCAAATTGGTCAATTATTGTTGGTCTGCCGTGATTGTTTCACCCGGTTATAACAACTCGTAATACAACACACCTTTCCAATCCCACCAGATACAAAGCAAAACCTTCTTGACGTGGATATTAGGCTTTGGCGTCGATGTCGAGGTTGACTAGGGTCAACCCATAATTTTCTACGTTTAGAGTTATCATAAAAATCCACTTTTCATCGCCTGTAATGACTTTGTGCAGAAAATCTTTTTCCGGAACTTTGAAAGCAAAATGAGTGCAGTGTCACGTCGACGATTTTTGTTGTCTTCGGACATTCATGCGGAACTCATCTGCCTTCCTTCTCGTAACCTTTCCCATCGTATGTAAACGTACGGAAATGGTTTGCTGCGTAACGCCAAGCTGTTCTGCAAGCTCCTTTTCAGTTTGCGCAGAGTTTATATCCAGCAGTGCTTGCAATTCGTCCGTTTCAATCTTTTGAGGGCGTCCAGCACATGGTTCATCTTCAAGACTGAAATTTTGGCGAAATTTTTGATACCATCTTTTACATGTAGTATGACTTACAGCGTTCTTTCCATATGCAGCACAAATCATTGCAGTGGCTTCAGCAGCATTTTTCTTCAGATGAAACGCGAAGTGGATGGAAAATCGAATATGCTCTTTTGTTATTGCCATCGTGAACACTACTGATTTTTGAGGTTATGTGCATCAAATGCCAAACCGTATGGCATTTTAAAAGGCCAAATGTCAACGCTTTAAAACCGCAAAAGGGCGGGAAGATATATAAAATTTAAATTGTTATTTCGGTTGTATGAAATCTAAAGCTCAGAACTTTTTTATACATCTAATATAAATATGTATGTGTCAGTAGGTAAACAAGGAGAGCCCTAAGCCTCCCGGGGCAAGAGGGGGAGTGGATGGGAGAGGGAGATCATAGGATGGGGGTGCACATTTAGGGGGGAGAAGGTGGATTCCTTTAGCGGTCGCCGGAGTAAGTTTTTCCTCCTCGGTCGGTAAGGATGGTTTTCTTCTTTGGCGGTCGCGAGGTGATTTCCCCCCAGCGCTCGCGAGCCTGGCGGGAACGTCACGCGTCCCGTTGCCGCGGTTAGACGCACTTCCTGTGTCTAGACGTCTTCCGCGAGGCCTAGCGCGTCCTGTTTTGTTCGCGGGGACGGAAAGGCGCGCGTCCTATTTTTTTAGGATGCCGTGTGTTCTGTTTTTTGAGGATGTCGCGGTTAAATGGCGTCTTTTGCGAAGCTGGAAACGATGCCGTCTTTTCAGGAGGATGCCGCGGTTTGGTGCGTCTTCGACGCTTCCTCGGAGTATATATTTAATCACGAGAGACATTTTTTTCATTGTTAAGAACGTAGTATATAGAAGAAGTCGCGCTTAATTTTTAAGGTGGTTCGTCTTCGAGCGAGAGCGACGATCCGCTTTTACGCGCGTTCGATCATAACGTAACGCATCGATATCTCGATGGCGATATATCAGTGGCGACGATCGTTGCGAGTCGGTTACCGAGAGTGACGATAGTTTAGAATGTCACGAGACTATCGCGTCTAACAACGACGAGAAATGGATCGCGATGAGAGAAGACGTTCGCTGGAACGTGGTCACGTATCATCTGCGACGAGAAAACGGTACAGAGAACCCGCGAGAGAAACTGTAGATCGAAACGTTGCTCGCTCTGAGCGACAGAGCGGTGATCTACGAGACAATAGCGAGATAGAGAGAATTTCGAGACATCAAATTCGTCGTTCCTACGGACGGTAACTCCGTGTGGGAATCGCAATATGGAGAAGAGTCGCGATCTTCTCGAGCGCGCGGCAGGAGTTGAAGGAATGTGCGCCTATCGTGTTTGGGAACGGGAGTGCGTCGAGTGTCTCGAGGTTTTGAGAGACAGGTGCGAGAATAGAGCCGACCCTACGATTACCGGAACGATAACTTCTCTGGTCTCTCGAGTAGCGCAGTTGGAGGGTGCGAGACTTGCTTTGA